CCATCTTTTTCCAAGCCCCTTCACTTCATTTCAAATTGATTGCCTCTTTTTACTTTATTTGTTTCCTACACACACATACACCACACACATGCACGTGTGCACACACACACACACACCCACGCATACACACACCAGCCCAAATTTATAAATAAGGGCCGTTGAATCTATTTTTGGTGTTTGTGTGTATACAATTTCAAAGCTGACTAGTTTGACTGAATACCCAGTTAGGAGGCTTATCGCTGGGAGAGACTAATTCTCCCTCTTTCAAATGCCATTAGTTGCTGTCGTTCTTTGTTTAGAGAATGCATCATATAAGATTTCTTTTCTATTCTACATAAGCATGTCTATTGATATTGCCATTGTGCAGGTCTGGTTTAGGCAGCTAATTTTAGGAGGCACTGTCTTATAGGAGACTCCCTGGTCCTTTGACTCTTAGAATCTTTTTATTTTAGATCTTTCACTTTGCACCTCTTGCTATTTTGTGTTGCTTTAATCCTGTTTCTGAAAAGTTCCCCAATATTAAAGTCATGTTTTTCTTTGAAACTGTTTATTATCAGTTCCAATATGTGTGCCCGCCTTAGGTCTGTTTATATTCATTTGAGTTCTCTTCATGATGGGTCATGCATTGCCACCTTTGTTGCATGCCAGGTGATGTCTTTAAGAATAACTGGCATTCTTACCTCATGACATAGAAAGTTTGGGTTGCAGTGATTATCTTTAAATAGTAATTTATATTATTCTTGAATATATTCCATAGTACAATTTAAAGTATTCCCAGCTTTTATTAATTTCCTATTAAGATAGGTCAATTTGGGTTATCATGAGAAATTCCTTCACTCTGGGAAATTATTCTCCTCCCATGTAGTCTCACTGAGCTCATAAAGAATTACAGAGGACTTCAATACAGCTTATTCTTTTACTTCATTTCCTTCAATTGTGTGTGAGTGTGTGTGTGTGTGTGTGTGTGTGTGTGTGTGTGACTGTGTCAGATCTTCTATACTGCTGAGCACTTGCGACTCTGTTATCATCTTATTCTTAGCCCTGAAGCACCTTCTGTCTCACATGCATTACGACACCTCATTTTGAGCATGCATTTCCCAAACTTTATTTAAAAATCTGCCAAATAATCCTCACACAGGGTCCCACAACATTCCTTACTATGCACAAAAATCTCTTCTCCATTTTCCTAAAATTTCCAGCTTTTACAGAAGCCTCATTCATGTCTGGATCTCAGCTCAGTGAGCTTGAACTTCATCTTTATGAAGCCTACGGGGAACATGCCACAAGGCAGAAAGAACCCTTACTGACTTACCTCTTCAGTTTCTCCTCTCCTAAGCATCAAAATTCTATATTGCTTGTTTTCTGTGCTTGGAATGGTTTGCCTTGTATTATTTATTCGGCTATATGAATGTCTATAGTGACAGCACACTTAATAATATTCATTGACCGCTAATTTAACATTCTCCAATACTATATTACAGTAGGAAAACATACTTTAAATGTGTGATTGTGTAGTTAATTATACTGGTATAAAAAGAAAGAAAAAGGAAACTACATGTTTCACATGTCACAATTCTCCATGCTCTCTGCTTTATTGTATTAGGCAATAAACCAGATTCCTCAGGGATCAGTTTTAGAAGTAAAATCACAAGAGGGAGTGAACGTGAACAAGACAAAGATCAATAGAAGCAAAGTTGTAAAGTTTATATGCAAATAACAGTGTGTTCAAAGGCTCCAGGGCTGGAAGGAATGTGGTATGTTCACATAAAGCAGAAAAATAAAGTCTAACATAAACTGGGTTCAGAACCTTCATGGGGTCAATATTTCGTGTTATTCCACCTAATAGCCACAACTTGTTGAAGCAGACATTGTGCTTCACTTTTTTTCATAAGAGAAAAATCCGAAATACAGAGAGAATAAGTAACTGAGTAACCCTAGGTCTGTGCTGAGATGTGACCTGAGGCTTATTGCTTCCATTCCCATATACTAAACCAATACATTTAAAGGAGAAAAGTGTAGCATGACCTGACATCAGAGAAGAAAAGGAAGAGAGATGAGACAAGGAAGAGAATTAACCATGGCCACACCCTGCTCTCAAATAGATTTTCGTAGTTACTTTACTTCACTGAAACCAAAGAACCGAATGGAAACAATTTAGCAAAGATTGTTTGACATCATGGTTTTATAGCATCATGGTGGGTTGGCATGGTAGGTGGAGCAGCTTAGATAGTGCCTTTGGCAGAAACATCATCTTAAGGCAGATCAGGAAGCAGAGAGAGACAGGAAGTAGGCAAGAAAAGCATAGGTCCAGTTACCTATGTCTTCCAGTTAGGCTCCAGTTAGACCTCACCCCCTAAAGATTCCAGAATCTACCCAAGTAACACCGTCAGCTAAGGACCAATCAACCAAAATACATGCCAGTGGCGGGAGGAGGAGTCATTCTAATCTTCATACTCATATACAAAATATAAAAATGTATTCACAAAAGAGGCATTTTAAAATGTCTCATGAAGAAAATATAGATTCCTAAAGTATAATGATCTCTACAAGACCACTTAGAATGAAACAGGAAAAACCAGGGACTTCTAGAGTTTAATTGAAAGTGCAACTTGTTGATCTTACCAAATAAGAGGCGGAGCAGCAGGGTAGCCTTAACAGTTGTGCATATTTGGGGAGGAGGAATCTCCCCCTCCCCATATAAAGCCTGAGCTGGTAAATACCAGGCTTCATGAAACAAACAGGAAATCAAGCAACTAGGAAGCATTTCTTGAATTTCTGACAAAATTACAGAGTCGGGCTAGATGTCAAGAAATCAAATCTGAAGCAAAAGAGCTGGGATAGAAGCTCCCTTGGGGTCGGTATGTGTCTCCAAGGCTATCAGGAGCTTCTTCCTCAACTTCTTTGTCTCTTATCTATGACAGGGTATGGTAAGATGAGATGCTGGACCACTAGGGTTGTTGAAGCAAACAAGCAAGACGTATCTCCCTACAGGCCAGCTGGAAATGGGAAGAGGCAATTTGCGAGAGGAAATTGTCTGACCTATTTCAAAGGGAGAATGGTATAAAGATGCCAACCCTTGGTAAAGGAGGGCTGACTATGAAGAAGGCTGTGGCACATATCTTGCCATGGCAGAAAGGAAACAACAGAGAAAGATATACAGCGCGCCTGCTTAAGAAGAAAATGAAAGACCTTAAAACCTCAGTTTCCAAAGGAGGGGGTGCTTAGGTGAAAGGGTTCTTCCAGAGACAGAGAAGGAAGAAGAAAACTGACATGTATGCTATATAAATCAGATTGAAAATGTAGAAATTGGTAGTGGTCTTTCTACATCCAATGTGAATTTATTGATCTTTTCTTTGATGCCACGCCCTCAGCCTACCCTGAGGAAGTCTGATGGAGGAAGGTCATTGGCTAATAAAGGAACTGCCTTGGCCCATTTTATTGGTTAGAAGATAGGTGGGAGGAGTAAACAGAACAGAACGCTGGGAGTAAGAGGAAGAGAGCTCAGACTCCACAGCTCTGCTCGCTGGAGCAGAGACACCATGCCCCGCTCCCGGGCAGCCACACGCCATGAAGCTCCGACCCAGGATGGACTAGGCTAGAATCTTCCCGGTAAGACCGGTTCTCACAGATTATTAGAGATGGGTTGATCGGGATATCAGAATTAGCCAGTAAGGGCTAGAGCTAAAGGGCCAAGCAGTGTTTAAATGAATACAGTTTGTGTGTTGTTATTTCGGGCATAAGCCGAGCAGGTGGCCGGGGAGCTGGGAACGCAGCCCCGCCGCCCCTATTTACAACAGAAGTCGACGAGAAGGGTGTTTCACACTAGCTAAGTGGATAGCATGAGACGATGCTTTGTCAGAAAGGATGACTTGGCCAGTGCTGATAATCTGATCTGATTTGCATATTTACCTCTTTATTTTGTCATTCCTACATGTGAGAATTTTTGCAGGTATGTTCTCGTGGTAAGGTGGAGATAGATCTCCATGTTGAGGGTCAGGGCTTGCTTAGAATTCCTAGGTAGGAACAAGAAAGCAGAAAGGAACAGAGGGCATATTTGCCAAGTGCCCAGCATAAATAATTCTAACTTTGAAATGAATTGAGTGCCTTGTGGTTGCCTTATATCAGGCTGCATTTGAACTAATTCAGGGAAAGCAGTTCATATTAAGAAGCAGATACAGATTTTCAGGCATTTTGAGTGGCTGGGATGTTGTTGAATTGAAAACCTTGAGTTCCTGACATGACAAGTTGTCTCTGGCCCTTTGAGGCTTGCCTATGGAGCCACCACTGGTTTCTGTAAAGTCTTCTCCAACTGCCTGAAGTCATGGATGCATGCCTGCTGCGCCAGGCTCTAATCCTGAGTTAACATTTTCGAAACACCTCTTACTTCCCCTGCAGTGGCTTCACTTGAATAAGCTCCATTCATTAATGTCACTGTGTGAAAAATGTGCAGGATTTCCACACATCCGGATCCTCAACACATGCTAATGATCCTGCCTGTCAAGGACATTGATTTTCCTCACTTTCAGGGAAGGCAAAGGTACTATCAGGTGATTGCTGTATGAGTGATTTCTGAGAGCACCCACCTCCTCTGTAATCAAAGAAGGGAGCATTGTGTCCAAAGAAAAGAAGATTGCATTGCAGGCCCTTAACCCTGGTTTGAATATTGAAATTTTCATCCAACTTTTTCCAATGAAAGCTGTTAGGCTTTTGATCTGAGATCCAACATAAGCCACCAAATTTTACTCTTGGCATCCATTGAAAATCCTTTCATTCTGTGTTTGTTTGGTCACCAGCACCTCTAAAGCCACGTAAGAAGTTTATATAAAAGGTAAAGAAGGAAACCAACTTTGGGAGCCCTCACCCACTGTCTGTGTTTGCCTGAGTGAGCAGCTAGCTGGCTGTCTCCCCGTCCTGCTTGCTCAGCTTGCCTGGTGACCCCTGCAGCCTTGTGGGTCCCTCTGTGCAGCCAGCACTAACAGAACCGATCATGTATTTTCTAGGTTTCCTCTACGCTCAGAACAACACCAAGCGCAGCATTAAAGAGCGGCTCATGAAGCTCTTGCCCTGCTCAGCTGCCAAAACGTCGTCTCCTGCTATTCAAAGCAAGTTTCCTTTTCTTTTCGCCCCCAAATTGTTTGCTTTGCTTGTTTAGATCCACACGCACGGCAATTTCTGTTTCTAAAAAGAATCGATATATCATCTCCTGTGAAGCAATGTCTATTTGCAGCTCGTGTTTATCTGAAATACCGCGGCATGAGAGCAACAGGCGCTTTTCAATTGGCAGCCTGAAATCCTGGAGTCGGTAACAGAGGCCCAGGCTGCCTGACACTCCGGATTTCTGTTTCATCTGAGGCCTGGGGACTAGCCTGGAGGATTGCTTTGCCTAAAATGGTTGCACAGCAGCTGACAATTTAAGCTCTATTATTTTGCAAGTTTCTTTTTTTCTAGTTGCAACATAAAATGTCCATATTTATGGAGTGTCGTGTGGTGTCTCGATATATGTATATTCAGTATAAATTCAGCTAGATAAACATATCCACAGTCTCAAACATTTATCTTTTCTTTGCTGCAAAATATAAAAACCCCGACTGTATATAGCTTTTCTTGCATAAATGACATAGTATAGTCACTCTGATACACAAATAGAATCCTGTCTAATTATAAATTAATAACCATAAATTGACCTTCCTCATCCCTTGTTCCTAGCTATGCTTCTCAGTACCTGGTACATACTATTATGCTCTCAACTTCTATGAATTCAACTTTTAAAAATCCTATGCATGAAATGATGCAGTCTTTGTCATGCTGTGTCTGGTTTATTTCGTGTAATGATGTCCTGCTCCCCCCATGATATCACCTATGACAACTATTTATTCTTTTCCAGGATGGATAGTGCTTCTCTGTGTGCATGAACCACATTGAATATATACACTTATACAGTAATAGTTACTTAGTAGGTTAATTCTTTCTTTTGGCTAAAGTGAATAGCTCTGCAATGAACATGGAAGTGCATGTTTCTCTTTAACATATAAATTATATTTACTGGAGAGAAATATTGCTCCGTTATATGATTTATATGGAAAGAAATATCTATACTATTTTTATTCAATTTCTATTATAATTTCATGGATTTCATTTTTTAAAGCATGACTTACTTTTCTTTGTTTATCCTATGCCTATGTTGTTTAAGGTTCTCTAGAAAACAAGAAGCAATACAAAAACACAATTATAAGTACATGCATATACATGCACACACTTATATATTATATATGTACATATATATTCCTATGTGCATATTTATATCTAAACACATAGAAATAGATAAAAAATGTTTTGACTTCTAGGATTATGGCTATGAATGGGCTGGGAAGCTAGGTAGCATTTGATGCTGTGGAATTGAATCAGGATTCTTCCAAGGAAGCCTCAGGTTTGTTTAACACCTCAAGTGATTACATGTGACTCACCCACTACATCCCCAGTCCTCTGCCTGTATCTTCCAATTACTGCCATCACCACTTTGATATACTGCCTCCATAGCAACACTTAGATTAGGGTTTGATTAAATAATTGAGCATTATGGCTTAGCCAGGCTAACACATAAAGCTAACGAGCACACTGGTCTACCTTCTCTTTCTTGACAACTATGTGGCATCCTTGTGTATTAGAGACAGAAAGCCCCTAAAGAGAGAACACTAGTTAATCTTATAAAGATATCAAATGCCACTGACCCTGTGAATTTATAAAGACTGTATGTGCAAATAAGTTTACATTAATTTATATCCAAGCATCAAATAACACCTGAATCAGACAAGAGAAGGCAGTCTTTCCTAATAAGAAAATAGAGCATCATAAAGTGTGGAGAAATATCCAAACTCTGTGTCAAGAGAGAGGAAGTATCTTCACGTAACTTCTTTATATTCTGCCATATCATTTTGTAGAAACTATTGATTGGATTGACAATTTAAAATGTAAATACCATCACTCTCCTCAACACAAATGGAGAAAATATGGAAGAAACATCATAAAAAAAAGTATGCTGAGTCAAAAGCCCTAGAACTAAAATACAAAACAATTGTTTTGAATGGTGCTGTATTGCATTAGTCAGATCCAGCAGACACATGGGTCCATTCAGTGAATACGTTTCATAATCTAGTCATTGTGAATTGTGTTAAGATCAGTTAATAAACTGTATTTCAAAACACAGAACAAAATCCAAAACAGCAAACCCACAGAACTCCACCCAACGAAATCATGAATAAACAAAGAGATGATTTTTCCTGGTAGGAATTCCATGGGCAGAGCATTAAAAGTATTATTATAGCACACTGCTCTATCTTTTGCTTTTTAGTGCACACTTACATGCAAACACACTTATATACACACAACAATTCACTAGTAAGACATACTAGGTCAGCAGCAAACTGCAAGGATGTAATTTAGAGGAATGAACAGCTCTAATCTGATATGATGCTGAAACTGTGGGGGTTAGTCTGGTTTGTCTGCGATGGTGGGCTATTAGTGCTATTGTTTTTCTCCTTCTAAGGTAGAGTCAACATTGCCAAGTTACCTGATATTTGCTGAAAACACAATCATTTGTATCATATGTACAGGATAAATGTCAGTGTCAGTCAAGACTTCGTGTGTGATTAGTGAAGAAAAAGACTGTCACATTCTGTTAGCATTTTTCCTGCATGAAATATCACACAAAACCAATTCAGTTTACCTCTGCCTTTTCCTAAAAGGATGTTTCTTGAAATTAGAGTCAAGCATAAAAACATTCTGAACACAAAGAATGAGAATAATGAAATTTTATATTTGATAAATTTAACATCCGCATCCATTAGGGCAATAAAAAGTCAAAGTTACATGAAGACTTGATTTTCTGTCTTTCAGGATGGTTATTACAAAGAAAATGAATAACAATAAATTATGGTGAGGAAAGATACCCCTATATATCCACTAATCGGAATTTAAATGCATCCCAACACAGTGAAAAACGTGAAGTCTTCTCAAAAATTGACAAGCAGAACTAGTCTAGACCCAGCTAATTCTTTCCTGGATAGACACCCAAAGGATTCTAAATCAATAGTCAATATACAATAGGGATGCCTGTACACCCATGTTTATTATAGCACTATTCAGAAGAGTCAAGTTATGATATCAATTGAGGTGCATACCAACAGATAAATAAGTGAACAATAGAGTTTTCAACTCTAATGAACAAATTTGTATAATTTGATGAAAATGATGTACCATGAGACTATCATTATCTATATATAGATATAGATGATATAGATCGATTCAGAAAAACAAAAATTTCATATTTTCTCTCATTTGTGGATAGTAGATTTTATAATGTTACATAAAGTCATATATAAAATATATTCAGTGATGCTTAAATATATGTATATTTAAAATATCTACATGTTATGCTTGAAAAAAAATTGTAAAACCCAGGAACATAGGTAATTAATATATACCAATTTTTAAAAACTAGAAAGTAGCTGTTGTTTACTTCATGCTAGGTGTAAACATGATTTGCAGACACTGTACATCTTTACATGTAAACATCTCTACCAAGTAGCAAGCATTTTCAAGTAACTGACTCTCACAAGAAAACTTGTCATGTAGGAATAGAGGACTATTACTTGGAAAAGAGGACAATGAATCTCATTACTATGTGGCGAAGTTAGGGTTTTTGTTGCTGTGAAGAGGCACCATGACCATAGCAACTATTACAAGGAATACATTTAATTAAGGTGGCTCACTTAAAGTTTCAGAAGTTCAGTCCATTATCATCAGCATGGGGAGCATGGTAGCATATAGCATGCTGGATCTCAGAGTCCTTAAACCTTGATAGGCAGGTAACAGAAAATTTACCTACTGTCGCACTGAGGGATGCTTGAGCAAAAGAGACTTCAAAGACCCCTCCTCTCAGTGACACACTTCCTCTAACAAGGCTACACTTTATAATAGTGCCACTCTTTTGGGGAGCCATTTTCTTTTCAAACTACCACACTATGTTAGCCAAGTGATCATGTTATCTCTCCTCTGTGGACTAAATACTAACAATTGTGCACAATGTAAAAATATACCATGTGATTGTGGGGTGAAAGGTTGGTAGATCAAACAAACAGCAGATAAGCAGAGGCCTCTAGGCCCCGATAAGAAAGGTATAACTATGCCATGTCTGGGTTTAGAGAAACTGAAGACGAGTCGTTCTTGACTTACCTGAGAGGTTCTAGGCATGACTGAACTCTGAGTGGCAGAGGAAATGTTCTATATGTGACATCATGAGACTTCCAAGTCGGTGTGTCTGAGAGTTATGTTCCTAAAGAAAAACCTGAGCTCATGCTAAGCCATGAAGCACTTTGAGCCCAGAACTAGAAAACTTAAAACTTAAAGGATCATGGGAAAACACCTATCGGATCTCCTCATTTAGTAAAAAAGAGAATCACTGGTTTTCACCAGAGAGCAGTATTGTTTCTTCTGAAAACTACTTATGACACTGTAACCATCTTTAGGGAACATTTTACAGTATGCCTGAAAAAGCTCATCTATGAACATATCTGTGTTCATCCCACCATGAGAACAATACACAGTGAGTTTCCTTCTTCTCCTTTATCAACATCTGTTCATTACTGCTGTCCTCTTCATCCCCCACTTCACTTTATAGTAACTCATTCAGTGCACACTTGAAATACAATTTCTGCTATGAATGCTTAACATTAAAGCATTAAAAGAAGTAGCTCATGGTAAAGAGTTTATTAAAGACCATATGTATAAATATTTAATAAAAGGTTAAAAATCTAACATGCAACATTAATATTTTAAGCACATATCTTGATGGTTGAGAAAACTGCCAAACCAAAGTCCAAAACTCCAATTACCTTAGAAATGTTTTGGAGATCAGTGACTGCCTTTGGAGAGAAAGAAGTAAATTATTTAGGCAATGGCCTATGTCCTTCTCCATGTATTAGTTGAAAACGAGATATTGATGTAATCTAGTGAGCATTAATTTATGATGTAGAGTTCTTCCTGGTGTTAATAACTCCTAAACAAGAGTGAGAAATGAGATAAGATAGAGGCTAGAAACATCTGC